GATGGTTGTTAGCTGTCATGTGGGTGCTAGGAACCAAACTCAAGTCCTCTGTAAGAGCAGCCAGTGCTCTTAACCACTGGGTCATCTCTCCAGCCCTGGTTTGCTTTTTTCTTTTTCTTGTTGTCTTTTTGAGATAGTAACTGAAAGTGCTCATTTGGCAAGGACTAAGTAGAGGCTTTTTGTTCAGAGTCTGTCAGAACAGACTGTAGCTCAGAACTTGCTATGGTAGCTGGGGATGACTTTAATCTCCTGATCTTTCTGCCCCCACTTGCCAAAACTATAGGAATGTGCCATCATACACACTGGTGGTTTGCCACTTTGTACACATCATTCCTTCATCGGCATTGAGGATGCTTATCAACATAAACTTCAAAAATCTTGCAGAATGCCAGGCATGGTGGGTCATGCCTTTAATCCCAGCACTCAGGTGGTGGAGGGAGGCAAGCAGATCACTGAGAATTCGTAGTCTAAATAGCAAGTTCTAGGGCTACAAAGTGAAATCTTGTCTCAGAACAAACAAACAAACAAGGAAGAAAAACACTGCTATAGAAGGGCCAGTGACATGGTTCAGCAGGTAAAGGTACTTGCCTCCAAACCTGATGACTCAAATTTAATACTTGGAACCAATATGATGTTGGGAGAGAACAACTGCAAACTGTCCTCTGACCTCCACATGTACAGCATGGCAAGTGTGATCTCTCTCTCACATACACACACAATGAATAAGCGTAAAAAAGAAAAAAAAGAAAACTAAAAAAAATCCTGCAGAGGGCTGGGGAGATAGTTCAGTTAGTAAAGAGCTTGCAAGCAAGAGGACCAGACTACGAGCCACAGAATCAATGTAAGAAAGCTAAGAATGGTGGTGAAGCTGAGAATGGTAGTGTGTGCTTGTCTGCAATCCCAGCCCTGCGGTTACAGAGACAGGTGGTTCCCGGGCTTGCTGGCCAGGCAGCCTACTCGGTCAGTGAGAGACATGGTGGCTAGTACACAAGGAATGACACCTGAGGTTCACCTCTGACCTAAAACATGTGTGTATACACTCCCACACCCGCCCACAAACCACACATACACACCCCCTTTACCCCCCAAACACACACACACATACACACCAGAAGAAAAGGCTTGTGCAAGCAAAGTGGAATATTTTTACTAAAGTGATATTGTATATACTTAAAAATTACATGTTTACAGGAAGAAGAGAAAGAGTAATTAAAATACACAGCTATATTTTTTCTTGCCATGTGAATTAAATTCAGGCCTTTCCTATAGAATGAGAAAATAAAATCCATAAGGTCACTCCACTGCTGTTACAAGTTACTAAATGTTAGAAAGTCTCCTCCAAAGGAGAATGTAGTTATTTTTCAAGTTAGTAGTATATTTAGCATATAACTGACTTAATGTTTTTATAAAATTTAGTCATTTTTTCAAGGGCAGTTTGCTCAGAATCTGTCTTGCAGACCTCATGCGCAAGAAGGATGAATTCATTGGTCTCTGGAACTTGAAGCCACTCCACTCACCCTGCCACCTCCCTGCCAGCTTCAACTTTTGCCATACATTGAGTCTAGTTCAGAGAGCTGGAGTGATTCTTTCTTTCCCTCTCTCCCTTCCTCCCCTTTCTCTCTCCACCCCAACTAAATTTTTCCAAGACAAGATTTCACTCTAGCTTTGAACTCATGGCAGCCCTCCTTCCTCAGCCTCCAAGTGCTGGGATTCCAGGTGTCAGCCACCAAGCCTGGCTTTAGGTTGCTTTCATTTTAGTCACAATCATCATGTGATCAAAATCATGGAGCCTCCTAGGGTCTTCCTTTGTTTCTGTGAAATGCAAGCAACCCTGCTTCATAAGGGAACATCTGCCACCAGTCAGCCCTCTGTTCTCTTGGGAGCTGTAAAAACCCAGGAGGAAGCAGCAGCCTGTGTCCAACAGAGCAGGGACAAACAGCCCCTTAGCCAAAGGTAGCAAGAGGGTCTGAAGAGCAGGACAAAATGGTTGAGGGTCTCTAATGGGTTGGAGAAAGACAGACTTCTAAAAAGGTGAGGACAGTTCCCCTTCCTGAACATATGGTTAAAAAAAACTTGGGAAAAGAGAGCAATTGACTCCTTCATCTAACACAACAAAGTACATAAAATGTCCCTCTGCTTCAAGTCAGTAGAGCTACTAACACTGTCATGGAAATGGAAGGTATTTCAATGTGCTCAATTTTTAAAAATATTTATTATTTATTATTATTATTATTATTTGTCTTTTTGAAGCAGGGTCTCCCTGTAGCCCCAGCTGTCCTGGATCTCACTATGTAGACCAGGCTGGCCTTGAACTCACAGAGATTTGACTGCCTCTGCCTCCCAAGTGCTGGGACTACAGATGTGCACCACCACGCCCGCTTTATTATTTTTATTTTATATGTATGAGTGTATTGCCTGCATGTATGTAAGTGCATCCATGTTGTGCAATGTCTGTGGAGGACAGAAGAGGCCATCGGATCCCCTGGAACTGGAATTACGGATGGTTGTTAGCTGCCATGTAGGTGCTGGGATTCGAACCCGGGTCTTCTGCAAGAATGGCCAGTGATCTTAGCCATCTCTCCAGCCCCATGTATTCAATTTTTCGAAAGAAAGTTTACAATTGAGGTATAATGACTAATTTCTACAAGGCCATGCTTGATGGAGTAAAGAGGAATAGTTATTAAGACACACAGAAGGTTTCAGAGAAAATTCTGGAAATAATTAGGAGTGGAAATACACATTGGTTGGTCTGTATGTTTCTATGGTGCTGGGCTTCATACACTTGGGGCATGTGCTGTGTGGTAAGCTGTACCCCTGCCCTGTTCTGCATTCTGCTCACATGCCTTTTGTTGTTGTCATTGTTATGAGACAGGGTCTCACTGTGAAGCCCCAGATGGCATGGAACTTGCTATGGAGGCCATCCCAGTCTGGCCTTTATCTCACAGAGAGTCACCTGCCTCTGCCTCCCCAAGTGCTGGGATTAAAGGCATGCACCACCATGCCTGGCCCTTGTGATGAAAGCCTGAGCTCTTAACAATTTTCTTTGGACTGGAGGTTACATTAGACACATGTGCAAACATGTAAGTGTTAGTAGCATTAAAAATGTAGGAAACAGCATATCTTAAAATGAAATGGAAATCTTCTTTAAAGGGTAAAAACTCATTCAATTTTGTCTTACAGGGTTTATACTGAGTTCAATATTGTATGACAGTATTAATTCAACTGTGAACCTAAAAATTTACAGCCACCTTTGAAAGAGATGTATCCTTGTTCTGGAATGTGTTACTGAATATGTTAAAGCTGTAATGAAATGCTTCTTCTAATCATGTGGCTATTAAATTAAATTTTTTTAAAATTTCCTTTTACTTGTTATCAAGAGAATAATGATGCTGATCTTATCTGATAAGCAAATGCCTAATCTGATTACTTTTTTGTTTGTCAGAGTCTCATGGTGAAGCACTGGCTGGCTTGGAATTTGCTATGTCGATCAAGCTGGCCTTAATCTTGTGGCAATCCTCCCCAGTTCTGAGATTACAGGCCTGTACCATGCTAATTTAATTTAATTACTCATATCAGGGGTAGGTGAAGATCACAAAACCCTCTTGTCTACAGTGGCTATGTTTTTAGTAAGCTTGAAAACTATATGACAGGAACTTTTACAAATTGTTCCGTGAATAGTCATAATGCTATTATGCTATTTTCTCTCTTTTCTTAGTGTTGGAGAGCAAATCTAGGGCCTTGAGCATGGTAGGTAGGTACTCGAGCACAAAACTACACCCCAGCCCTGTTTTCTGCTTGCATTATTTTAAGAGACTATTCATAGGCTGCAGACTCTGAAGGAAGCATCCTAAAACGGCACACAACCCACTGGGTGGTGCCCCATTTTAAGGAAAGAAGGCACTGGTAGTTTAAAATTTCTGACATACCTTATTACTAAAAGCAGTCCCTCTCATCATCTTCAAAATGTCTTAATTTGATTTAAAAATAGTCAAAAGCTTTGTGGCTTCAATGATTTTGTTGGGAGTACCAACACAAATCTTGTAGAAATCAATTTTAATTTATCTTTCTGAATATTTACTTTTGGAAAATGGAAGGAAAAAGCTTAGCTAGATAAAATGGTATCTGGCTTTTTTTCTTGGTCAAATCCTTTTATCAAAGGTCGGATCATTTGTGGAATCTGAGTCCTAAAACTAGGTATCACCTTGCAAGAAGCACAGGAAGTGGGTATGAGTCCTGGATGGGTGAGGCGACTCCAGGCTCCACATAACCACATTGTCTTTGGAACTCCCAGAGAGCAGAGGGCTCAGTGGAGAGAGGTTCTTGCTTATCCCCCTCTGTGATACTCCATGCCCACCAATTCCACAGGAATGCCCCATTAGCCAATTACTTGGCCTTGAGTCAATGGAGAAAAACCTGTTCCCTACTAGAGATGTAAAGTATGAGATAAGCATGGGTGGGAAGAAGGGCTCATCCAACTTGCTGCACACTTGTGTCTGAGTCCTTCTATTAAAATGAAGGACAAGGACAGAGGATAGGAGGGGAAGAGCTGACATGTCAACAAAAGGGCAAAGCAGGCAACACATTTCATTTCTGGATCTAATACAGATCCTTTTCAGGGGGAGGAGAGAGTCACAATGTGCTCAGTGTGTGTGTGCGTACAAACAAGCATCCACGAGGACTGCTATATAAAGATGTGGAAAGATTTTCCCTTCTCCTACAAACCCAGGGTCCCTTCATATCTGAACTCACAGTAAGGCCCTGGAGTGAGAAACACAACACATGGGGAAATAGAGGGTGGTAGTTGCAGGATAGAAATTCTTCCCACATCTTTCCATAAACTCACAAAAATGAAAAATACGGTGTTTTCTTCTCCTTCCACCATGATGTTCCAAAGCTCAAGGTATTCACAGTTAGTCTGCTGAGTTCAGACTAAACACTCAGCATACAACTCAAAGAACTTTCAGAGAGGTGTTGGTCTTACAAAAAAGTGGAACACGCATTTTTTTTCTTTGGAGCAAAAATTTCTTATGGTACACATTTGCAAACACTTGTTAAATTACATACTACATATTAAATGAAATTTCTTGGGAGTGCAAAAGAAACTTTTGAATCTTTCATCACAATAGAGTATAATTCCTTCTTAATCTTTAGACTTGCCGAACTTTTTTTTCTGTGCTTTTTATATTGATATCTAACTTGTCCACTTTGGTTGTTAGCCGGTCAAGAATGTCATCCTGCTCCTCAATTTCTGTTTGCATCCCTAAGGCTATGTCCTTCAGACGGCCCAATCCCATGGACAGCTCATCTGTGAGAGAAGGAAATGAAAGGCAGGGCTGAGCAAAGGCAGTCACTATACCTAGAAATGCTTCCTGCTCCTCCCAGGTGCTCAGCAGCAACTGGATTGCTGAGTCCTCTTCTAAGAGGTTATACTTAAGGTCTTGGTTACATTTTCCAAAGTACAAGAAAGTGGAGAGAAAATCTGCTATGTGCTTATGTAGATGTCACTGTCCAGGCTTCCTGAGGTAACTGGAACCTGTGATCTTGTGTTTCCTGGAAAACAAAACCCGTGTGGTTGCCCATTCCTCAGGAAGATTCCTGGTTTTGGGGACAGTAAGGACAGGAAAACAACACGGCTGAGATAAAACAGCAATGTACGTGCTGTCTCAGTGGGTAGGAATGTCTCAGTGGGTAGGAATGCTTCTGAGCAAGCATGAGGACCTGAGTTCAGATTCCTAGTACTCATGTAAAAGTGGCCATGAGCGCCAGGAACCCAGCACTGGGGGAGTTGGAAGGGAAGAGACAGGAGAATCACTGGGACTTGCTGGTCATGTACATTACAGATGTCACGTACATATATTAGTAAACTGTCATGTATTATTTGAGCTCACTGAGAAGTTGTCTCTTAAAGTGGGGTCCTCTCAATGGTATGTGGATATCAAGTATGTCTGTCAAGTGTTTTCTCAGAACTCTTGTCTGGGGATGGGCTGGCCCTCCTCTGTGACAGGGAGGAGAAACCAACAAAATAGTCCAAGAGTAAAAATATTGTGTTCTCGAGAAAAGATAGAAGATAAACTATTTCCAACAGATGTTACTTTTTTTTTTTTTCCTTTGAGACAGGGTCTCCCTGTAGCCCCAGTTGGCCTGGAACTTGCCTGGATTAAAGGTGTGCTGGACCACGCCTGGCTGTTATTAGTGCTTATACAAGTGCCTGCGATGGGAAGTTGAGCCATGGGAAGTTCATCCCTGGAGAGCTCAATTGGAAACTTCAGTTGCCTCAACTTCCCCAGTTAGTTTCTTTTTCCTTTATTTTATGTGTGTTTTGCTTACATGTATGTAAGTACGCCTGCAGAGGCCAAAAGAGGGTGTCAGATTCCCTGGAACTGGAGTTAGGGATGGTTGTTAGGCACCATGTGGGTGCTTAGAACCAAACTCTGGTCCTTTGGAAGAACAGTAAGCACTCTTAACTGCTGAGCCATCTCCTCAACCCTCTTCCCCTGTCAGTTTCTGCTGGATGCTGTCAGCACCTGATTTGATGTTATCTCTATCTATTGCTATTTGTTTTTTTACTTGGAAGCCTCACCTGAGGGGACATTCTGCTTTGTCTGGGACTCTCTCTATGGGGAATGCCAGCTGATGCCTCAAAAGGGGCTTCCCTAGTCGATTTCTGCTGGATGTTTTGAGCACCTGAGTTGATGTTTTGCCATCTATCCATCCATCCACTTTCACTTGCTTATTTACTCGTTTATTTTGGTTTGCTATATACCAAACCAAACTAAACAAAAACAGACAAAAAGATTATAGACATGCTAGCAAGTAATCCACAAAAGAAGGGATATGAGAACCAGGCCTGGTGGCACACACCTTTAATCCCAGCACTTGGGAGGAAAAGGCAGGCGATCTCTATAAGTTCAAGGCCAGCCTGGTCTACATAGCAAGTTCCAGGCCAGCTAGGGCTATGGGGAGACCCTGTCCCAGAAAGAAAGAAAAGAAAAGAAAGGAAAGGAAGAAAAGAAAAGAAAGGAAAGGAAGAAAGAAAGAAAGAAAGAAAGGAAGGAAGGAAGGAAGGAAGGAAATGGAGGAGGGAGGAAGACAAGAAAAGGAGAAGAAACTTGGGGCTGCTGGAGTGGGCACCACCTTGGGTGAACTGAGAGAGAGCCCACTGGAGAAGAAGCCTGTGCGTGGCAATCAACATGCACCTGCGTGGGTTTCAGTTGAACCTCCTACTGGATACTGTTAGAGCATTTGTCTCACTCTGTCAGCTTGTAACATAGGCGAGGAGACTGATGAGCAACCTAGGTCGCTCTGGGGAGGTAAGAGGAGATGGCATGCCCAGACCCAGCTTTGAATAAACTCAAAGCCCATTAGTCAAATCCCATTGTCTGAACATGCCACTCCACTTGGACTTCAAATAACTGAGCTCTTTCTTCATTCAAAGAATATTCCCTGGGGACTGGAGAGATGGTTCAGCAGTTAAGTGCGCTTGCTATTTTTGCAGAGGACCTGGGTTTGGTTCCAGTACTTACATGGCAGTTCACAAGTATATGTAACTTCAATTCTAGGGGATCTGATACCCTATTCTAGACTCCTGGGGCACTGTAGGCACATGGTGCACAAACATACACGCAGGGCAAAACACTCATAAACATACAGTAAAAATACATAAATTAATTAAAAAAATAGTTACACACTGGCCAGGTGTGGAGGTATACACCTTTAATCCCAGCACTCAGGAGACAGAGGCAAGTGGATCTCTGTGAGTTCAAGGCCAGTCTGGTCTACACAGCAAGTTCCAGGTTAGCTGGGACTACAGGGAGACACTGTCTAAAAACCAAAACAAACAAACAAAATGTCACTGTACTGGGGATGGTAGCTCAATGGTGGAGCACTTGCTTAGCAAGCATGAGGCCCTGGGTGACATTCCCAACACTGTAACCCCCTCCCCTCAAAGAAAAAAACACTATTACTAGGCCTTGTGAATGGAGTGGTAAAAAGATGGAAACATTCATGTGCTCTTCCCAGAATTAAGGTCTTATCAGGAAGACAGTAAAAATCTTGTGCCCTGGAGAATGGCTAAATGGAGGATCACAAATGGATGGACAGTTCTGCAGAAATTTTAGAGTGCTGAGTGTCTGTAGGAGGTGGCTACAATGAAGTGTGACTTGTGGCATGAGATAGGGCAGGCCTGCAGAGCAGGGAGGAAATCCATTCCAGGACGATGGAGACACAAGGATGAAGGAACAGGTATCCCCAGGCCTGTAGGATGCAGGAGTCTACAGTGACGATGAGAGCCTGAGGGGGGTCCTGAGCCTATGCTCTGCATGCATCAGGCATTTAGAAGTTTCTGAAGAACATTACCTGACTTCTGGACTTTTTGTTGGGAAGGTGTTGAAACAGGGTCTCCCCATATAGCACTGGCTGGCCCGGAACTACTTACCTGTATAAGGCTAGTCTGGAACTTGTGACAACCCCACTTCTGCTGAGTGCTAAGATAACAGATATGAGCCATCATGACTGGTTTTTTTTTTTTTTTTTTTTGTGATAGGGTCTCACATAGCCCAGGTTGGTCTTGAACTTGCTATGAAGACACTGAACATGGTCTTGAACTCCTGATCTTCCTGTGTTTACCTTCTGAGTGCTAGGATGTACAATGTACAAACATGAGTGCTAATTCTTACCAGGCCAGGCCCTTCCTATATGCTTGGCAGAGTTCTTTTATGACCACCCCACCCCACCCATAACCCTCAGGGGCACCATGTTCTGCAGAGGAAGAACCCCTGTGGCTCCATGTGGCCATGTAGGAGGGATGGAACAAATGGCTACTTCCAGGATGTGCTTAGATCCCAGGGACACCTAAGTCTGCTGTGGTCAGAATTCACAAAAGCAGTGGGGACAGTTTGGCTGGACTGAAAGCAGGAAATGGCAAGAAGTAGACAGATTCCTGAGTGAGGCAGTGAGATGGACATGATGGTACAGGGAGTGATAGACAGTGAGTGAGCAATGAAATGGCTGCTCTGGTGCCTGGCTGGGCTCAACATGAGCTGTGGGAGGACAGGCACATGTGGAGGCTGCTGAAGCTCTAGACTTACCTAGGTTGCTGTTGATCTTCTGGTGATAGGCTCGAAGGTTTGGATTCTTTGGGTAAGCCTCAGTACTCACAGCAGAATCAGGCCCTCTGGGGATGGGGTCTAAATTTAGAAAGAAACACCAGAAGAATGGTTAACTGACTTTCCTAGAAATGCTGCTCCATGAAACTGATCTTTTCTTCTTCTCTTTCCAAGTCCTAGCGATCTACCCAGGGAATCACTTGTACTAGGAAAGCATTCTCCCAGTAACTGTGACATTGATCTTAATCTGAAAAAAGGCTGGAAGGAAGAAGGTGACTAGTTCTGAGGCTCTACAGAGGATAGGAATGGAATGGAGAAGGTTCATAGGCTGGAGGGACACACCCATGGGGGACAGATCAGAGTTCCAGCTGGTCCCTTAGCTCTAGGCAGATCAAAGACCCTCAATTACAGGTCACCCAGTTAGATCTGGAATGATACATATAAGGAATAATACAGCTGAGGGACTATCAATGCAAAACTACAGACTCATAGGCCAGCTCTGGGAGGCAGGTTGTTTTCTTCTTTTTTTTTGATGCTGAGAACTGAATCCAGAGCCTGTGCACGAGACGCAAGCACTCTATTATAGAGATAACCTACCAACCCCTCTCACCTTCTTAGGGTTTTTTTTTTTTTGAGACTAGGTCTTGCTATATTGCACAGGGTGACCTCAAACTCCTGGGCTCAAGCAATCCCTTGAGTAACTGGGACTACAGGCACACAGTACAGTGCTTGGCAGAGGCAAGGTTTAAAAATCAAACTTGTTAAACCACATGTGGTAGCACATACCTATAATCTTAGCACATGAGAGCAAGAGGATGAAGTTCAAGGTCATCCATGATTAATGAATTAATCTGAGGCCAGCCTGGGCTACACGAGACCCTGTCTCAAAAAAAATCAAATCAAACCATACAAAACAAAAGTGAAAAACAAAACAAAAGTGAAAGATGTTGGCAGGTGTAGGGGTGCACAGCTGAAATCTCAGCACTTGGGAGGCTAAGGTAGGAGGACCATGAGTTCAAGGCCAGCCTGAACTACACAGTAAGGCTGTTTCACAGAAAGAAAAGAAACAGAGTTATGATACAAGAATCTCAGATTATGGATGTTTTTTGTTCTGTTGGAAATTTATTTTTATGCTGTTTTTTCATTTAAACAAGCAAAAAAGAAATGTAAAATAATGTGTGCCCCCCCTCCAAATTTTCCTTGAACTTCAGTTTCTAAATATGCAGAGAAAAGTCTTGTCAATTCATACCGCTCCCTTTCCCCCCACCAAATAGGGTCTTGTGAACTTTAGGCTGGCCTTCAACTTGATAAATAGTTGAAGAGGTAGCCTTGAATTCCTCATCCTTCTGTCCCCATCTCCAAAGTGTTGGAATTAGAGGTATGTGCCACCATTTCCAGCTTTTTAAAATTTTCTCTGAGACAAGGTCTCACACTTCCAGTCTGGCCTTGAATTCATGATAATCTTCCTGCCTCAGTCTCCCAAGTGGTGGGATTACAGATGTAAGCCACCATACCTAGCTATTGATTTATCTCTTTGGGGGAAATATCTCTTTTTAGGCTTAGTATTCACTTATCCATACTATCTGTGCATGATTTCTTCCAAGATCCTCCTGGGATACTGAAAGCTGGGGATGCCCAAGTTCCTTATATAACATATAACCTAAGCACATCCACTTGTATACTTTAAATAATCTCTGCATCACTTATAATACCTAATGCAAAATAAATGCAATGTAAATGGTCATTGTATTATTTAGTGATTAATGGCAAGAATTTAAATCTTGTATATGTTCAGTCAGTACAGCATGATGTTATTTATTTTTGGTCTTTTTGAGACAGGGTCTCCCTATAGCCCCAGCTGGCCTGGAACTCGCTTTGTAGATCAGGCTGGCCTTAAACTCAGAGAGAGCCTTCTGCTTTTGCCTCCCTGGAATTAATGGCGTGTGCCACCACACTGGCTTCTGTAGGATGTTATTATTTTTGGAGACAGGGCCTCATGTAGCCCAGGCTGGCCTCAAACTTATTATGTAGCTAAAGATAGCCTTGAACTCCTGGCCCTCCTGCCTTGTCTTCCAGGTGCTTAGATTACCAGTGTATGCCACCAAGGTGGGCTATGATTTTTTGGTTTTGTTTTGTTTCCCAGCCACTCTTAGTTTTTCACATCATTTTAATTTTCAGTTGTCTTCTCTAAGATGGTCTCATGTATCTCAAGCTGACCTTGAACTCTCTAGGTAACAGAACATGGCCTTAAACTGATCCTCAGACCTTTACCTCCCAAATTTGGGGATTAGAGTTGTTGTACTATGTCTGGCCATTTTTTGTTTTGTTTACTGAGACTGTCTTGCTATGTAGTCTAGAAGGGTCTCAACCTCACAAGTTTCTGGCTTCAGCTTCCTGAGTGCTGGGGTTATAGGCATCATGTGCCACTATGCCTGGCTTACTTTTCAATTTTGAGAAAGACCCATGAGATGATGATATTGGGTTCAATCTGATAACCCAGAATAAATTCTCCTATCTGAAGAGATCAGTTGATCACCCACAAGCATAATTCTTCTTTTGTCTATAACATATTCATGAACCCTGGGGTTAGAAAGTGAACACCTCTAGGGACCATTCCTTTACTTACAACAGGGATTGTATTTTGTTATTGCTGAAGTAGAGTCTCATATAGCCCAGGCTGGCCTCAAACTCAATATGCAGCTAAGGCTAACCTCCCCCCTGGCCCCCGCCCCTCTTTTGACATAGGGTCTCACTACGTAACTCTGACTGGCTTGGAACTCACAGTCACAGAGATCACCTGCCTTTGCTTCCTGAGTTCTGGGATTAAAGGTGTGCACCATCATTCCCAGCTCAAGGCTGGCTTTAAACTCCTGATTCTCTTGCCTCTACCTCTCATGTGCCCCGATACCCAGCTTTACAGTTACCTTTTTTACTGCTAGAATTGCTCAGAGCTACAGCAGCTTTTACTAACAGAGGGAGGGTTCATGTTCAATGGGATGTAGGTCACCACTTCCTTCATCCATACTCCATGGTGGAGAGAGGGAGGAACCCCACTGCAATATACATCTGTTTTCCCATGAATGTGCTAGGTCCTGATGGCTTCACCCAGTGTGTGGGATGCCAACTGCTGGAGCCCCTGTCCATCACTGTAGAGAGGTGGCTGTCCCCAAACTGGTACTTCAAGATCAAACCCAGAGCCTCCCCTGTAATCTCTACTCACCTACATCATCCAGCCTTCTGAGGTTTGGGTGGCTGGCCTGGTACTTTGCTTCCTGATCTTTACTTGTATTTATGGCTTCTTTCAATCTTTAGATAAAAAGAAACGTTAAAAGAAAAACACAGGAGAGTATCACATGTTGGGGTGTGTGTGTGTATGCGTGCATCAGTGTGTGTACTCAGCATCAAATGCTTTCCTATGGGGCTGGAGAGATGGCTTAGCCATTAAGAACACTAGTTGTTCTTGCAGAAGACCTGGGTTTGAATCCCAGCACCTACATGGAAGTTAACAACTGTCCATAATTCCAGTTCCAGGGGATCCGATGGCCTCTTCTGTCCTCCGCAGGCATTTTACGACATGGGTGCACTTATCTACATGCAGGCAATACACTCATACACATAAAATAAAAATAATAAATACAGTATTTTTTTTTAAAAGCTTCCCTATGTTGAATTCCTGGGAATCCTCCAGGTAACAGTATTGGGTACATAGTCAGCTGAGGAAGACCTCATTCAGAACCAGGTGGTTGGATGAAAAGTATGAAACCAAGTGGGTGCCTGAGATGAAAGATCAGTGAATTATGACCTATGAATCAAAACTTACCTATTTTCCTCACTTATTTTTTGTTGTTGTTGTTGTTTTTTGGAACAGGGTTTCCCTGTAGCTCCAGTTGGCCTAGACTTGCTATATAAATCAGGCTGGCCTTGATTTCAGTGATCCACTTGCCTCTGCCTCCCCATTGCTGGGATTAAAGGTGTGTGTTACCATACCCCCAGTTCACTATTTTTTGAAACAAGTTTTTGTTGTTGTTTTGGCTTATTTATCCCAGGCTAGCCTCAACTTCAATATGTAGTTTCCACATGCTGAAGATGACCTCGAACTCCTGATCTTCCTGCCTTTACTTCCCAAGGAATGGGATTAAAGGCTTGTACCATCTAATCTGGTCTCACTATATTTTATTGTGATTATATATATAGAATATAAAAATCTATCACTTGCTTGGTGTCATAGTGCATGCCTTTAATCCCAGTACTTGGGAGGCAGAGCCAGCCATATTTCTGTGAATGCAAGGCCAGTCTTGATCACATAGGGAGTTTCAGGCCAGTCAGGGCTACATAGTGAGATCCTGTCTCAAAAAAACAAAAAAACAGGCCAGGCTTGGTGGTACATGCCTTTAATCCCAGCATTTGGGAGGCAGAGGCAGGCGGATCTCTGTGAGTTCAAGGCCAGCCTGGTCTACATAGAGAGTTCCAGGCCAGTTGGGACTACATCACGCCAGGTATGGTGGTGCATGCCTTTAATTTCAGCACAGGCAGATCTCTGTGAGTTCGAAGTCTACATAGCCTGGTCTACATAGTGAGTTCTAGGCTAGCTGGGGCTACAGGGAGACCCTATCTCAAAAGGACCAACCTCCCCCGCCCCCCCCCAAAAAAAACATAAAACAAAAAACAGGACTGGAGAGATGGCTCAGTGGTTAAAAGTCCTGGCTGCTCTTGTGGAACACCTGGGTTTGAATCCCAGCACCAACTTGGTGGCTAACAACTGCCTGTAACTCCAGTTCAGAGGATCTGACGGCCTCCCCTGTCCTCCTTGGGCATTGCACGACACAGGTGAACTTATTTACATGCAGGCATAACATTCATACACATAAAATAAAAATAAATTAAAAAACAAAATACAAAAAGAAAAAAAACCCCAAGACCCCAAAACAACGACGAAACAAACAAAAAATGGTCACTTTTTTTATAGCCATAAGCAATGAATGGCTTTCACATATGACCACTTGCATTGGACTGAATGTCAACTTAGTAATTTAGTTTAAAAAACAAAGTCTCAAGGCTAAGAGGTGGCTCATCAGTTAAGAACATGGCAGCTAACAACCATTCACTTTTAGGCTCTTGCATGCACATGGTACAAACTTATACACATAAACATATAAAAATAATAAAGCAACCAAAATAAAAAAAAAAAAAAAAGGGAAGCTGGGCTTTGGTGGTGGTGCATACCTGTGATGCCAGCAGGCAGAGAGCAGAGGCAAGAGAATCAAGAGTTTAAGGCCTGTTTGGCCTATATGAAGCCCTGTTTTTTTTTTGTTTTTTTTTTTTGTTTGTTTGTTTTAAAGTTACGACTTCTTTTTTAATTTATGTGTGTCTGTATCTGTGTCTGCACATGTGTATAGGTTCCCCCAGAACTGGAGTTATAGGTGGCTATGAGCCATCTGGTATAGGAGCTGGGAACAACCTGGGTCCTTTGCAAGAGCAATAAGTGCTCTTAACCATTGAGCTATCTCTTCAGTCCTCTTTTGTTACTTTTTTGAGACAGGGTCTCGCTCTATGACCCAGGCTAGTCTCCAACTCACTAACTCAAGTGCTAGGATTACAAGTGTGCACCACCATAATCTGGCTAGAAATTTACCTTTTAAACCTCATTAAGAATTTCATTTCTAGGGGCTGGAGAAATGGCTCAGGGGTTAAGAACACTTAATCCAGCTCCTGCAGAGGACTCCAGTTCAGTCTTCAGCACCCACATCACAGCTAACAATGATGGTCTTTTTTGAGACAGGGTCCTTCTGTAGCCACAGCTGGCCTGGATTCACTATGGAGATCAGGCTGGCCTTGAACTCACATAGATCCGCCTGCCTCTGCCTCCTAAATCCTGGGATTAAAGTAATACACCACCAGGCCCGGCACAATGATCGTCTTTAACAGAACTGATGCCCTCTTCTGGTCTCCATGGGCACTGCACGCACATGGTGCATTTGGTAAAAATAGGCAAAACACACATAGATATAAAATAAAAATAAATAAATCAAAAGAAAATTTTAAAAATATCATTTCCCAAATTAGGGAGATGGTTTTGGGGAGATGGCTCAGTTTGTAAAGTGCCTGTTGCACAAGAACCAGGGCCTGAGTGTGGATACCCCAGCACCTACATAAAAAGCCAGGTGAGGCTGAAGAGAAGGCTCAGCAGAACTGACTGTTCTTGGAGGAGACAGGGTTCAAATCCCAGTACCCACATGGTGGCTTACAACCATCTGTAATTCCAGTTCCAGGGGATCTGATGCCCTCTTCTGTCTTCCACATATGCTGCAGGACACCGGGGTACTTGTACATATCAGGCATGACACACACATAAAATAAAAATAAATTAAAAAATTTAAAAAAAAAAACAAACCCCAGGTTCACCGGGCATGGTGGCTCATGCCTTTAATCCCAACACTTGGGAGGCAGAGACAGGTGGATCTCTGTGAGTTCAAGGCCAGCCTGGTCTACATAGTGAGTTCCAGCACAACTGGGGCTACAGGGAGACCCTGTCTCAAAAAAAGACAAAACAAAACAAAAGAAAATAAACAAACAAGCAAACAAAAAAACCCAGATTCATTGGTGCAAGCAACTGTAACCCCAGCACTGGAGGTGGGGGAGGGTGGGGTGGGGTTGAGACAGGTGGATCCCTGGAGTTTACCGGTTAGCTAGACTAGTCAATCAGTGAGCTCCAGGTTCAACAAGATACTCTATCTCAAAAAATAAGGTGGAGAAGCAATTGAGAAAGACACTGATATAGATATCTGGCCTCTACATGTATACCCATACACAAGTACACACTAGCATGCACATGTGCACACACATGAACACACACACACACACACACACACACACCCCACATACTTTTTTTG